TTGGTCTGCTTCGTTGTGCTATAACAGACTTTCCCTCTCTAATCCTTTCCCCAATTTTTTAATACCTCATCCCTTCCACATGGTATTCCAAATTCTAAAAGATGCTTCTGTAACACCTCCCTCATTCCTCGGCTCATATTACTAGCAGGAAGAAATGTCTGAAAAGAAAATGCAGGTACTGGCCCCAGAAGGTCAAGATCCCAGGTCTAGGTTGGCTTTCACAGGAAGGAGACAAAATGCACTATGGAAAGAACAAACTTTGCCCAGAGCAGGGATTTCTCATCTGTCGTATCATTATAATCTGTTGTGTCCCCTAAAAATCCTTCATACCTGTGATTTTCTCAAAGGTGGAGATTTGAGATAGAAAAGTCTCTTCTATCTTCTTCCTCAGGGCTGGCTTTTTATGTGTGTGTATGCTTCAGGGAATTAGAACTTAGGGCCTCATGCTTGCTAGGCAGGAGCTCTACCACATGAGTGACTCCACCAGCCTTTTTTTGTATTGGGTATTTTTGAGAGGGAGTTTTGAGACCTATTTCCCGGGCTGGATTTGAACCACAATGTTCCTGATCTCTGCCTCCCCAGTAGCTAGAATTGTAGGCATGAGCCATTGGCACTCAGTCTCCAATTATTCATGTCAGTGAAGATCCTTGAAAATCTCTGATTATTTCATTAAGAATCACTGCATTACTTGGGTAGAATTTTATAACATTCAAGTTTTTTTTTTCTTTTTTGTAATAGGAGTCAGGGTTTTGTTTTGTTTTGTTTTTGTTTTTGTTTTTTTCTTTTTTAAGAGGAGTCAGTTTCTATCAAGAATTTAATGTGGTTTTTTTTTTTTACTTCACTTCTACAAAAAACATTTTTATATCAATTTTATGAGAGGTATTTAAACTGCTTTTGCTGAAAAGCACTGTCTTCTTACTTGAGCCCATGAATTAATTAAACACAGAAGACAAGCTTGGCATCCCTGCCTCCATTTTGCACCTGCTGTCCTTTGCTCTGAGCCATTCAAGCCATTCTCTTCTGCAGCCACCTTGAATCAAGGAAGGACAGGTATGATGGATAACATGTCTATGAAAAAGGACAGAGATTACCACCAGGCAACACTGAGTTTCCAAGGATAGACCACTCCCTAAATGAGGACAATTACCTATAGTGACAAGACTGCACCCTGGAGCAAAAGTACTTATCTCATGGGGACCAGAGATAAGTCAAGTGATGACAGCAACAACAACTTCTCCAAAACCCCACAGAACCAGAACTGAGATAATAATCAATCAGGCTACACTTTGACCACGACTGTTTAATTAAACATTCCTCTCCGCCCCTGCACCAATTCTTTGTCAATTTAAGCCTGTAGTTTATGTCTATACCCTGAAGATGCTTGAAGATGGGCTGCATAATAAATCTCCTTTCTCTGCCCTTCACCATGTCTCTTTGTTTGGCATATGGGGGTGAGTGGCCGGACATGACATGTAGAAGCCCAGGAGGTCGGGCCTGGGGTCCAAAACTCCAGTTTCTATTTCAAGTTCAGAGTAAAATTGAGGGGAAAGTACAGCAAGTTCCTATGTACTTACTACCTGGTCCTCCCACACACACATCCTCCCCCATTATAAATATTTGAACCCAGAAAAACACATTTGTTATAAATGATCAACTTACAATGACACATCATTATAACCCAAAGTTCATAGTTTACATTAGGGTTCACTCTTCCCTCATTGGGGTACATTCTATGAGCTTGACAAATATGCAATAACACATATCCCCCAGTATAATACCATAAAGAATAGTTTCTATGCCCTAAAGATCCTCTGTGCTCCACTTATCGACCCATTTCTCCCTTCTAATCTCTGGCAACCAGTGGTCTTTTTAGTCTCTTCATAGCCTGCCTTACAAGAATGTCAAATAGTTGAAACCAAACAGTATGTAGCCTTTAAACATCGAATTCTTTCACTTAGTATATGCATTTAAGCTTCTCCTATGTCTTTTCATGGCTTGATATTACACTTCTTTGTAGTACCCAAGTAATATTCCATTTTTTGGATGTACCACACTTTATTTATCCATTCTCCTATTACAGGACATTTTTGTTGCTCCCATATTGGGCAATGATGAACACATCTGCTGAAACATCCATAGGTGGATGTGTAGACATAGTTTCAATTCATACACCAAGGAGTGTGATGGCTGGATTATATGATAAGAAAATGTTTAGTAATTTTGGAAACTGCCAAACAATATTCTGAAGTGGCTGCACTATTTTGTATTCTCACCAGCAATGACTGAAAGTTCCTATTGCTTCACATCCTTGCACCATTCAACCTAACAGCATTCTGGATTTTGGACATTCCAATCAATTGTGTATGGTTATATTTCATTGCTTTACTTTGTATTTCCTTGACTGCATACCATGTTCAGCATCTTTTCATGTGCACACTTGCCTTACTTATATTATTTTTGGTGAAGTTAGGTCTTTTGCTCATTTTTAATTGTCATTTCCTATTTTAAAGATTCATAAGCAGTAACTATTAATACCACAGAACTAGAAATGTGCATGTCCTGAAGTTTCAGTGCAATTTGTACACAACTGATCATTTGAACACAAGGGCCTCAAATGAGTAATGATTGCATCATTCTGAGGTTATTGGCGAGGATGTGGGTAACATGCCCTCAAGGGGTTTGCAGAGCAAAAGATCAGGTACTGAAAGATGGTTGGAGCCTGGTGGCTCACACCTGTAACCCTAACTACTTGGGAGGAAGAAATTAGGAGGATTGCAGTTCGAGGTGAGGCTGGGCAAATATTTTGAAAACCCCTATCTTAAAAATATTCAACACAAAATAAGGGCTGGGGGTGTGGTGTGAGGATCTGAGTTCAAACCCCAGTTCCACAAAAAAAAAAAATATATATATATATATATATATAGAGAGAGAGAGAGAGAGAACTGAAAGCTAGAGAAACAGCATCTGAGGGAGAAGGTGAGAGCCACAGAAGAGGAACTCAAGCTGAGACCTTGGTGGGGAGGGCTCAGTGAGGTAGAAAAATGCCTACCTGAGGAAGTTTGAAGAGTAAACAAGGATCAGCATGGGCAGAGGATTGGAGGAATACAAGTAAATTGAACAGAAATGCTTCCTTTGAACTGAGAATGAGCAAGTGCTTAGGGAATACCCACTCAGTGGGTTGTGGGATAAGAGAACTCATATTGTAGCAGCTGAGGAATGATCAGGGGATGAGGAAGTGGCCAGCACGGGAACAACCTACTTTTTTAAGGAGTTAAACTGGGAGGGCATAGTGGGGCACACCTGTAGTCCAAGATATCCAGGAGACGTGGCCAACCTCAGGCAATTGTGCAGAACCTATCTGAAAAGCAACTAAAGCAAAAAGGACTGGGGGCATGGCTCAAGTGGTACAGCACTTGCCTAGCAAGGCCAAGGCCCTGAGTTTAAAACTCATTACTGCAAAAAAAAAAAAAAAATTAGGCAGGGAAAGGGAAAATAGTCACAGTTTGAGGGAGACCAAAGTCTGAGGTCCTTTCTTTCAATACAGGAAGGTGTTACAGAACATCCCTAGGAAAATCTCCCACTTGGAGCTTGCAATGGGGTTTTGCAGCTTGCCTCCAGGTCTGCCTCTGAATTCTCTGACTGGCCCTACTTGCCAGGCTGACTCCTGGGGATTCATAAATCCTGGTTAATTTACTGCTAGGTTCAACACCAAGGGGAGGAGAAGATTGGAAAGAGGGATAGATGGAGGAAGAACACAGGGTGTTCACACTGCACTTCTTCCACACAAAATTAGCAGGTTCCTGCAGAGGCTGCTACTTGGGTGCCTCCTGTCAGGGGTACCCCTCCACAGCTCCAGCTCACACTGGGCTTGGGTAGGCTGCCTTCCCAGCCAAGGGGAGTAAATGCTCCCTGCTGTGCTATTCTCCAGGCCCTCAGAACACTTGTCCTCCTTATTTGCCCACAGGTTGCATTTAAGGCCTTCAGTGACGTCTTTTCAGTTGAGCTGAGTATCATTCTGCTCCCACCAGACCTGACTAAAAGGAGCTGTAAGAACATACATGACACCCCCACACAATCATTTTTCCTTCTTATGGGATAGCAGGTAGAAGTAATTGAGTGTATGTGCTGTCTCCTTCTCACATGTAAATTATATCAAGGTCTATGTGCCTCTTCTAAGAAGTGGCTGCCAGAATGGGAGACGATTGTTACACCTGAAAATCCCTTGTCAAAATGCCAACAGCCCTATCGTGTGTGTGTGTGTGTGTGTGTATGTGTGTACTGCATACACACAGGAATGCGTGCATATACACTTCTAATTGAGGGGAAATTTGTTCCAGGGTTTTTAAATATGGAAAAGAAGAATATGATTGCATGTCATGATGGGCCCTTTGATGTCTGTTCCAAGAGAGCCTGTAACTGCAGACTGTTGTGGTCTGGTGTTCCTACAGGGCCGGCACAGGCTACAGGCACACTGCTCTTCCATGTGTCCCCGTCTCAGTGAGTAGCCTCACTGTTGAGACCCAGAGAGTTTTAGGCTAAGGACAAAGAGGCTGAGGGTTGGAAATGGTGTGGACAATACCTAGCTAGACTTGACCTTGTCAGTAAAATGAAAGGGGAGAGGGCCAACTGTTGATCCTTCGTTTCTGCTCTGCAAGCATACGGGAAGTGTCTTTGGAGAGCTTTATCCATAGGGCTGAGCGCACACACTTGCCGAGAGGATAGGTAAGCAAGAGTCTGCAGGCACAAGAGAGGCTCTGCCCACAGCCAGAGAGTAACATTTGGGAAGGGGATTCAGCCCGGGGTCCACGGTTGTCCAGTGTCCAGTGTAGTACGAGTGGTGAGTTTAGTCTCATTATTTCCATGTCTAATCAGCAGGTGGAGACCAAGAAGAGATAAAAGGACACACTTTAGTAGCTATTTCTATATTTGGACCCTCTCTGTTTCATCCCCACCACCTCTCCTCTCGAGCAGGACACCACACCCTTATGGAACCCTGATACTCAGGGTGGGAGGACAAGAGTATTGGCATCTCCAGCAGGCCCTGGGCACTCGGCAGAGCGCTGTTCCTTTCCAGGGAAAGGCAGCACAACCAGCTTCTCCTCCTCGGGCCCGATGAAGAGGAAGGAGACATCCAGGGTTGTTCCCTGGGGATCCGTGGTTAGATCCAGCTGCACAGGGAAGGCCTCCTGGGGGCCCTTGTCCTCAGACTCTTCCGGCTTCTCATCACCCAGGTCAGGGAGGTGCTGGACAGATCCCCTTGGCACAGCTGGTTTGGGGGGGCTGGAGGTGTTTTCCTCCTGAGGCCCTTTCACCTTGGGGAGACTTGTAGGCCCCTGAGTAACAGGAGAGGTTTGACCTTCAGCAGCCTGAACCTGAAATAAAAATGTTTGAAAATGCAGAATTCCACAAGGAAAGTCCTGGCTGGTACCAGGCTAAGCTACTCTGTCTTTCTGGTGGAATATTACACAGGGAGACCAGCTGAAGGGATGGACCTTCTGGCTAAAGGGCTAAAAAGCAAACAGATAAGGACCAGGGGGAAACAAGACTTAGAGAAGCTTGGCCGCATGTCTCCTAGTCTCAGAGCTGAACAAGGTCCAGAGAGGTGTAATGACTTGCTCAGAGTCCCCAGTGAGCTGTCTCTGCTCCCAGGAATGGCAGCAGGTGACACTTTTATTGCTTACTCTGTGCTGGCCCTATTGCATCCTTCATCCAGGTCCTCTCACTTGTTTCTACTGGGATCAGAATGAGGGCAATGTTGCAGTGCCCTGTAGATGAGGAAGCAAGCCTCAGACATACGGGTAAGAGCTGATGGCCACACTGCTCACAGATGCAAAGCAGGACTGGCCCAGGTGGCCTAACTCAACTCTAGCATCCTGCCTCATGCTAAGTGCTCAATAAGTACTTCTGGAGTGGGACTGAATCCTTTCATGGAAATGGCTTCTCCCTGAGGTTTGGGGTAAGGATTCATTATTCTGTAGGACCACACTGTCACTAAAATAAAACACGACAGGTCTCTGACCAGCTACCATGTCAGTGTAGCCTTAGAACAGCCTGAGTAAAGTGGTCATCCTGAATCTTCGGAAAATTAAAAGAGGGGCTTGATTAGTAGCAGCTAGATATAGAAATGATGCTCTTTTCTGCACAGGAAGACAGACTGAAAAATACCTGTGATTTGAAGAAGTCACAAGTTGCAGTGACAAACTTTTTAAAGGGTGTTTTCGACAGAGAACCTTTGCAAAGAGCAATGGGCTAAAAGAAAGAAAATAAAAAGACTCATCAGTAATAAGATTTTCAATGACCATTATTGGAAATCAACTTGCTTTCTGCTTGCGTAGGCACATAGACAAACAACATTTTTATGTTCCTACCATCTGAAAGGCAGGCTCTGAGCCAATTCTCTGTAAATTCCCTCTACCAAGAAATTATGCAAAGTAGGCTGGATTTTCTCCAGTGTCCTCCCTATGGTCAAACTCCAGAGTCACCAATAAAATAACTTTTTTAAGTTAACAAATGTAATAAGTAGTTATTTAGAATATGTATATAAACAAGAAGAAAAGAGAAAGACCTGGAATTGCACAAAAGGTATTTGTTACCTGCAATGATTTGATTTTTTCCATTTTTTTCTTCTAAAACTTCCCATACATTATGCATATATTTTGAACTACTTTCTCACTGAACAGTCACTGAACAAATCCTCTTCTGACATTGGACAGTCTTCTACGATTCTTCTTAATGGCTCGCAGTATTCTCTGTGCTGTTTAACAAACTCTTCTGTCAAACAACTATATTAAGTCTAATATTTTTTAACAACAAAACTGCATCTTTTCAACTATTTCTAGTTGCTTCCTTAGAGCAAATACCTAGAAGAGGAATTCTAGGATGACAACACATGCACACTTTTTAGCATAAATAGAATATTATAATCAAATGTTGCCTCACTTTCTAAAGAAGAGCTCTTAAAAATATCCACATAAAATTATCTAAATATATCTAATCAGATTGCTTGAGCATTTTTCTGCCATCCATCTCTAAATAAATGAAGAGAAGGCTAGAAATTCTTCAAGGTGGGAAAAACCATTAAAGTATGGAGTCATGGGGAATTTTCCTTCAGCCTTTCCCTTCCCTTCATCACCAACACTCACAGGGGAGGCCCTCTAAAGAACCTCTGGAGAGACTGCAAGCATCTGTACCAATAGCAGCTGGCGTGCTGTAGAATTTGCTATACTATCTAAATTTGTAGGGCTCTGGTGCTGGCACTAGAGTAGAGCGCAAAATCTGAGTTTGTGAGTATGCTTCCATGTGAACCCTGGAGCCTGTGGACATATGTGACCTCCAGATTGGAAAGAAATTAGTAACACTTTACTTCCAGATGGCTTGCTCTTGTATATAGAAAATATTAAGGAAATCACAAGAAAACTATTAGGACTCATAAATGAGTTCATAACAGTTACAGGATACAAAGTCAGTATTAAAAATCATTTGCATTTCTATTCATTTGCAATGAAAACCCAAAAATAAAATGAAAAGAATCCAATTATGTTAGCATTTAAAACCATAAAAACATTCAAGGACTAAATAAAATAAGTAAAAGGCTTGTACAGTAGTCTCTCCTATTCAGAGATTCACTTTCCATGGTTTATACCTGTGGTCAAGCAATATCTGAAAATATTAAATTCTAAAAGCAAACAATGAATAAATTTTAAATTGCATGCCATTCTAAATATCATGATAAAAATCTCCTTCCATTCAGCTCCATCTCTTGGCCCAGAGTATCCACACTGTATACTCTACCCACACTTAGGTCACTTAGCAGCCATCCCTCTATCAGATCAACTGCCATGGCATCATAGTGCTTGTGTTCAAGTGAGAAGGTCAGGAATAATCTAACGCTTTGTCACAATGCTCTGTCATTCACCTGACTTCATTTTATCACATATTGTATCATGTGACATCATAATAATAAAACAAAGGATAAGTAAATACAATAAGAGAGATGGAGAGAAAAGACTTCACATGCACATAATTTTATTGCAATGTATTATTTTAATTGCTGCTATATTATTAGTTACTATTGTTAATCTCAGTATATCTAATTTTAAATTAAACTTTATTATAGGTTTGTATACATAGAAAGAAACATAGTATATAGAGGGTTTAGTATTATTCCCAGTCCAAGTATCTAATGGGGGTCTTGGAATACATCCCTTACAGGTAAGGGGGAGGGACACAAAAAAAAAAATCACAAACCTGTAACCAGGGTTGAAAGAAATTAAGTTCTAAAAATGGAAAGATATCACATATTTGTGGATTTGAAGGTTCAATGTTGTTAAGATCACTGTACTTACATATTGATCTACAGATTCAATGTGAACGAATATATCAAAGTTCTAGTTACCTTTTAAAAACAGAAATTTACAAGCTGACCCTACAGTCATGAAAATGAAAAATACTCTTTAGAATACCCGAAACAATCATGAACAAGAAGAGGACTCATACTTCCCAATCTCAAAACTTACTACAAAACTGCAGTATTCTATTCAAGACAGTTTGGTACTGGTGGTACAGCTTAGATATGTAGATCAATGGTATAAAATTGGGAGTAAAGGCAAAAAACCTTTCCTTTATGGTGAAGTGATATTCAAGAAGTGTGCCAAGGCAAATAAATTGAGAAAAGAATAATCTTTTCAATAAATAGTGTTTTTAATAAATAGTTTTGGAACAACTGGATATCCATACATGAAGTTGAGCCCTTATTTCATGCCATAAACAAAAATTAACTCAAAAGGAGACATATACCTACTTGCAGGGTTTATTTCTTTGCTTTCTATTTTGGCAAATATGTGGAGAAACTGAAGCCCTCAAATACTGGTAATGGGATTGTGAAACTGATGCTGTTCCTTGGGGAACAGTATGGTCGTTAGTCAGAGTGAAACACAGAGTTCTCCTAAGACCCAGAATTCCCACTTCAAGGTATATACCCAAAGAAATTAAAACATATGGTAAACAGAACTTGGACCCTTGTTTGTTGCAGGATATAACCCAAATTTCCATCAACTGAAAAACGATAAACAATATCCATGCAATGAAATATTGTTTAGCCAAGAAAGAGGTAAAACTATCTCTCTTTGCATATTAAGAAACCTTGAAACATTATATTTTGTGGAAGAAAAAGGGTTTTGGGGTGGGTGAGGCAAGAGTAGAAGAGAGCAGGATGAATACAATCAATGCATGCTGTATGCATGTATGGAAATGCCAAAGTAAATCACATTAATTTGTACAATCCTGAGTGTTAATAATTTAGAAAAAATGCTTTAAAAGTAATTGGTATGAGCAGTGCTGAAGGTTAGCATTACTGTTCATTCATTACTTTGATGGAGTTAATCACTTCTGTTTATTAAAAAATGTAAATGTTTTCTCTCACACACATGAAAGACTACACACTTACTATTCCCTTTACAGGAAATGTTGGAATAGATGAGGCCAAGGAGATAGAAAGTAGATTAGCAGTTTCCAGGGGCTTTCAAGAGGCAGCAATGGTGAATGACTGATAATAAATATAGGGTTTTCTTTCCGGAGCTAATGAAAAGCTGTGACATTGTAGCACAACTCTGTGAATATACTAAAAATTTCTAAATTGTACATCTTAAAAGGATGAATTTCATGGTTCATGAATTCTACCTTCAAAAAGCTGTTCCTATAACTAAATTAATAAGCAGGAAAATATTTATGGTATATTTTGCTCAATTGTGCTGCAACACAAGTGCCAATTTACATTCTGACCACATGTCTTTCAGATGGTTTCAAGGTGCCCTCTACATTGTGGATGCTTTCTTTGACTTTCCATTTGAGTCTTTTTTTATAAAACGTGGTCCAAAGAATGGAACACCATGCTGTATTCTAAGTGTAACTGGATTTATTAAAATCAAAGTAGGATCAGCACCAACTATGAGGAGATTCGTGTGGATTTACAGCTCCTGGAACAGTCTTTTGCAACTGCATCACATTGCTGATGAAAATTGCACCCACAGTTCAATAAGTGAGTGAATTAGGCATCCAAGCCTGTCTAATTTCTGTATTTGTTTCTTGAGAGGCAGAGATGCATCTCATGCTTTGCAACACCTCAAGTAATTTGTACTCAAGAAATACTTAGTGATGATCTTTGAACAGGAACCTCAAATTATGAAGACATTCAGGAACACTCACCACAGAGTCAGAGGACTGGAGTGAGCAGCTGCTGTCCGAGGATGTCGTACACGGTGACTCTTTGATTAAGTATTCCACAGAGTAACCAATGCTACCTGCCCACTATTATGAGACAAGAGTTGAGACATTAAAATCAAACCTTCCTATATGGGGAAAAAGACATTTGGCAGCATTAGATTTACAAAAATGATACATCCCCAGAAACATTGCCAACACAGAAATTCATCGTCCCTGCAAGTCTCCACATGAATCAACAATGTGTTAGAATTTTGTTACTTAGAAAACATAATTATCATACCTTTCTTGCATTCTTAAAGATTTGAAAGGCCCCTACTTTCCCGTGGTAAGCTTATTTTTTTCTCATGAAGAATTATCCTTTAGTTTCTTTTAACACAACACACACAAACCCACAAGAGATATCAACATAATCCAAATATGAATGAGCCTCCATTTCGTTTAATCCATAAAACTCAACATCTACCCCAAAATTTGGCTAAGTGATCCATGGTCATCAAATTTGAGCATGTAGTAATAAATAGTAAACTACAGAGAATCCTCCAATATGACTCTAAGTCCATTTTTCATCTTGCCTTAAGGTTGATCAAGTGAGATCAAGTCTTATGATGTTTATAGAAGTGCCATGGAATAATAGAAGCTGAAAATGATCTAATGTACATCAGATCTATCAGAGTAGGAAATATAGAGAAAGGTTCTTGGGTTCTAATGAAATGGAGTGCATAGATATTCTATGTTTAGCTCAGGAACCAAAGCAACAGTGATGAGACACACTCGTTACTGGCCTGGGCATTGTAAACTTACGTAGCTCGATGCCTTGGTGACTTTGATGAGAGAATACTGCTTTGAGGGGCTTTCCCTGTTGTATTTTGCAAGAGACTCAGTAGCAGCTTCCAAAACGTTTGGGTCTGATGAGTCAACGGGGCTGCGTCTTGGACAGTCTGGGCAGATATGATGAATGTTTCTTCGAGAAACTGTTGATGCCCATGAGATTAATGAGAGCAGTTATTAAATATCATTGATTTTAATGCTATAAATAGTCATGAATCATATGACAATAACAAAGGCAAAGAGTGAATAAAAATGATAATACTCGGCATTGGTAAGGATGGAGAGAAAAAGACATTATCTGGGCTGGAGGTGTGGCTCACGTAGTAGAGCACTTGCATAGCAAACACAAACACTGAGTTCAAACTACAGTACTGCCCAAAAGAATTCTTTTTCAAAGAGAAAGTCATTACCCTAGTACAACAAAAATTTTAAAAATTGAAAAAACGTCACCCAACCATATAAAATTTGAATAGATATAGTTGAAAAAAGAAAAGATATAAAACTATAGGTACTGAATAAGTCATATGGTATAAGTGACATTTGTATGTGTTTAGGAATAAATGTATACTGGGGCTATGTGCTCAATAAAATGCAAATGTGTGCAGAAAAAGTTCAAGGGGAACATTCCTTATTCTTTTCTTTACTATAGGTTTTGAATTGATGAACTTTTATATACTTTTCAATGTTTTTGCATTTTCAAGTTACCCACAGTATCAACTTAATGGCAATGAAAAATAAACTTTTTACATACTGAAAAGAGGATATTTTCTCAAAAAAATAGCTGTTGACAATGAGTATTCTATAATAAGCAAGATTATTTTCATAATTTAAAAAGAAATCAAAGCAAGAGACATTTCATCTCACTTAAGTTTATTTACACTAGGAATTTTTTGTTCAAAGACATCCCCTCCCCAGTTCAGTGTCTTTTCTCAACACTGCCTCTGTAGGTTGAATGCCTTTGAAAGGTTGGGATTTCATTATTACCATGTCTTATTTATCTTTTAGTTCTTAACACCCAACATGATATCTGACATACAGCAAGTTCTCAGTAAATGCTGGTACAATAAGAAAAGGCATGATGAAGGAGCAAGGACCTTCCCTTAGATTAGAAAGTGCAAGTGAGGCAGAAACCAAACTTGGCCAAGTCACTGTGTGACTAGATAGAATGATCACATTAATGGTACAACTGGAATCTCCATTGGGGAGGAGCTGGGAGTGGCAAATCTAGGGTAAGTCAGGCTAGGGAATTTGCCTTGGAGTTTTTTTCAGAGTGAAAACGCATGTTTTGATTGGTTGTACATTTGGGGACTGCGTCATCACTGTAATCACTTCCTGACTCAAGGCTCTGATACCCATGACTCCCTTGAAAGTGCTGTGACTACTTAGCAGTTACTCTCTAATTTATTTTTGGTTAGTCTTGTCTTCACACCCAGGAACCTTAAGCTATGGCTAATAAAATGTTTGCTCTGTTGCCTTGTCACTCAGAGGAACCAGCAGCATTGTTGTCACCTGAAGTTTGATAGAAATGCAGGATCTCAGACCCTTCCAGACCCACAGAATCAGAATCTGCACATTAACCAGATCTACAAAGGGAGTCACATGCACACAGTAGTTTGATAATGGCAATATCCGATATGGATGCTTGCTTTTAAGGACTTCCTTTTGTTAAAAGAGGATGCAGAATGTATGCTTGTGCATATTTCAAATGTCATTTCTTTCAGCATTATCCTTACCCTGTTTACTCATGCATTCAACATTGATCGCTCCTTAAACGTTAAAGGTACTAGGGAGTATGTAACAGGTAGAAAAAGTGACATAATATTCCACACAATAGAAGATATAAGACTCCAAGTCAAAGCAGATGTTCCAAGAGTAGTTTAGCCAATGTTTTATAGGAATGTGTAACAGGAGAATACTGTTGCTTTCTTGACTAGAATGCACAGTAGAAGAAGCAGTGTTCCTTCAAAAGGGTATGAGTTTCAAGGGCAGAGGTTATCCAGGGCAAGTTCAGTAGAGGGAGAGGCACAGGCAAGGTGCAGAGATGGGAAAGTGCAATGTGTGTCCAGATAACAGTGAGGAATTCAGTTGAATAGAATATCAGGGAAATAGTGGCAGAGAGCTAGAAATGAACCGGGGAAACAGGTGTAGAGACCGTGTGCCATTTATGTAGGATTGAGAATTAAGATTTGACTCAGGAAAGGAATATAAAGCTACTGAGGAGGACTTAGGAGGATTAATTATGGGGAGAGGAGCAGTATGGTTGAATTTTAGTAGGGAGGCAAGTACTGGAAGCATTGGCAACTGGTGTTGGAATGAATGCAAAGTAGAGATGAGAGAACCCAAGACACTCTTGATGAAGCCCTGGCTAAATGTTGTTTTCCATCTTCTATTAATATCCACAAATCATGATGATCTCTTACCTGGGCGAAGAGTGCAGTTATAAGCAGGCACATAAAGAACTCTTTTTGGCTTGTTAATGAAAAACAGTGCTTTGCATTGACCATAAACCTGGAATGAACAAACACATATCCCATGGTAGATAGGACCATGAGATTTTAAAATCCCAGCCCCAAAGGGAATTTGGAGATTTTATTTTAAAGTAAAGAGATACTTAAATTCTGTTGTTTGGAGTAGGAAGAATGGCCATCGATCACCTCTTAATTCATTTTCTCATACATAACTTGCTACACTTCCCATCCTTCCTCACAGTTAGGTGGGTATCCCTGAGTTCTAACCACAGGAAGGTGAGTAGAAGTGTGAAGGGGGATGTGTAGTCACTTCCAGGTCTGATACATTCTCTCTATTTTCTAAGTTCTTTCTCTTTCTGTGATTTGATGCAGGTGAGCGTGGGGACCCTGGGGCCCATGAATTGAATGTGGCAGTCTGTGCCACAGTAGAGGAGGAACCAGGCTCTCCAAATCATCCTACAGCAAAACTCCTTTCTGATCAGGAACTTCTGTTTTGAAGTCTTAATGAATGAGAAATAAACTCCTATCATGCCAGAGTTAATGTGCAGTTTTTAGTATATGTATTGTAGTAGCTAGTGTCACCATAACAGATGTAACTAGCAATAGGATAAGAAGACTTTTTTTTCTACTGGGTCTAGGTTTGAACTCAGATTTTTAGGCTGACAAAGCAGGTTTGTTTGAGCCACATCTCCAGTCCATTTTACTGTGGTTATTTTAGAGCCAGGGTCTATCAAACTATGTGTGTGGGCTGACCTTGAACATCGATCCTCCTGATCTCAGTCTCCTGCATCCAGAATCTTTACCTCAGGTCCCTTTCTCACAATTTAAACACTGCTTCAGTGCCTACAGGAGGTCTTGGAGGTATAAAGTAATGTGGGACTTCTCAGAAATCCCTTGATTAAACATGGTTCTGTCTACAGTGTTATAAACAGCACCTAGGCACCTTGCTGAGGAGATCATGAAGAAAGACATTTAAAAGGTGGCAAACATGGAGAACTCTTTTCCACATAGGAAGAGGGTACCTAGTTTCTTTCCCAGGAGCCCCTGTCAGTAAGCACTTACTGAATCATAAAACATCCTCGCACCACAGTCCTTCCATGCCTTCTTGCTGAGCACATGGCAGTCAGTCTCTAACACATCCAGTGTGAAATAGAACAGAGATCCCAGGTCACCCTGAGGGAGGATAGAGAAACATAGCATATCCCACTTGAAACAGAAGCTTCTGAAGACTAGACAGAACTGCCTCTGCTCTATGGAAGAGCCAAAAGATGTGATGTTTTTGAGGACTGAACCTTAGTTGTCAAAGTAGACCAATGTTAGCATTTGCTCCTAGTAACAATAAGAGCATTGTAGCCAATCTTGGCAGAGGTGAGCAATGTTTTCCCAGCAAGGTTTCCATCTTGGAAAACACCTGCCAACGTGTATCTCTTGGTTCCCACCCAGGGCCAGTCTCTACAGCTTGTTCAAAGGCCTGTTTTGAAGGGGGGTGTCACTTGCCTGACTTTGTGCCCAAACATCATTCACTCGGTTGAGCCTCAGCACATAACCTTCCTTCTGGTCTCTATTGATGTCTTGTAGGGCAAAGTTCGCAAATGCCAGCACATCTGAGTCATTGCAGCCCCGGGAAAGCAGAGATGGGCTGAGGACTGGTGCTGGTGGAGACAGAGTCACATAGCATGCAGTCAGGGTGCAGAGCACCAGAAGTTGAAGCAGACCCATTCTGTGGGGAACAAGACCCTGGATGGGTCAGTATGTATAGCTTCAGAGTCTTATGGGCTCTTTAGAAGAGACTTGAGCTATTTTATAACTGCAATCTGAATAGTTAACTGGGATTTGGAACTATATACTAACTTGTCACCTTGATTTCGAAAGGTAGAGTTTTCTGAGTCAGTACTTTGGATAGGATTTGCCAATATTCTAACATGTAAACAAATCTGTTTCCAAACAGTTCTCAAGAAATCATAGCAAACATTTGGTCAAGGGTCTTAGGATGTCATGATTGGATTCTGGCTTGGGTACTGGTCTCCACCTGAGTCAGAATCTGGACTCTATCACCTTGTTCTCACTTCTTTGCAGCTGGTCTCCTTGGCCACCCTCACAGTTACTCAAGCAGGAGCACAGGGTCCCAGAAGGTCCCAGCATGGCTCAACCAGGCTCAGTCAGTGTCTTCAGACTTCCCAGCTAATCTCCTGTGTTCACTGCTCTTGTTAGATAAGAGAGGAGGCTTACCCCTCAGTCACTTGCCAGAAAACAGGTGAGATTCCTAATGCACCGTGAGCATCTGAATGAAAGGCGTACTACTTAGTTTCTTCAGGTATTTTAAGTCAGAGACTATTCAAGGGGGAGAGCTAATGAATATCAAAAGTTCTCACTTAATACACCAGGTCTGTTCATTCTTTGATGGATTAGTATGGATGTAGATTCCTTAAGAGACAAAACCCTAATGCTGTCGTTAGAGAGATAATGAGAGTCAGGGAGACCTGGTTATGACTCTTTTTCAGCTTCTTTTGGGGTTCAGGAATGTTCTGCTTATTGGGACTGTCTGCTGAAAGACAATTATCTTTTTTTTTTTTTGACAGGGTCTCTATGTAGTCCAGGCTGGCCTTGAACTCGAGATTCTTCTGCCTCAATCTCCTGGATGTTGCAATTACAGGCACGAGCCACCATGCCTGGCTGAAAGACAATGCCTTTCAAAAATTTCACACACACACACACACACACACACACCAGCGGTAGATTGTCATGAAAGAAAAGATCCAAGACAGGCAGGAAGCCTCCAGATTACAGAAGACATTCCTTGTAACTCTAGTTTATGAGATGAACGACATTCACCCTCCCCCACGCCATCTCCACCTCCTTCTCTCCTAAGGGTTCTGTGTTAAATAAGTTTAGGAACAATTGGATCCATCAATGCCTAGTCTTTTAGAGTTTCCTCACACAGAGTATGTTAAAGATTCCCTGAAGCTCTGGGATGAAGAAAAACATCTAACCACATTCCCCTATACTTACTTGACTATCAGAGAGCTTTTTGTGAGTAATGCTTATTATTAACTCACAAATACATTTTGGGTAAGGGTACTAGTGGATAAGGATAGCGGTATGTGAGGGTTTTGGTTTTTTTTCAATGAGAAACTGATCAAAGGGACTGAAGATTTTGACTGGGGGTGGAAATTTTCCAAATGAATTGAAAGACATGTCCCTCTGGCCCAAACAGAAATCCAGGGTGTAGTTGGCCAAGGTTCATAACAGTAAACCAAAGACAAGCAAGGCATCTGATATTTCTACAATACCTATGTTCACTTAAAACATCGATTTCATATTTAATTTAAATATCGTCATTTGTGTTGTTTCCTAATATTACTGTAATTAGCTACTGTGCCTCAGTACCTCACCAAAGAAATTCTAAAAGGTAAGAAGGGGGCAAGGAGAATCTACCCACACCTCATAGTCACAGTTGTGCTGTTATAAGAAAAGAGATGGCAAGATTTTTAGATATGGTTCTCTTGGGAAAGCAGCACTCAAGCAGGGCCTCAGCTTTGCAAGTCTCATATCCAGGCTCTTCTGAGGACCTAGAATTGCTCGGGCCTGAAGGCCAGCTCACATTAATCTTCTGGACAAGCAGCTGACAGATAAATCAGAAGCCTGCTTGTTAATTTACACTGGAAGAGGGATGGCTCTCTTGTCTCCCCAGCAGGGCTGGACGGATGCTGACAAGTTTTCCTCTCTGGTAGCCCTTTTATATCTTGAAAACAGACTACACAGTCCTTTCAGGACTCCAGGTAACAATACACCAAGCATACACCCTGAATCTGAATGAAAGAAGGGGTCCTAGCAGAAGGCTAGGCTTTAATTAGGTGCAATGTCTTTCTGGGGAGCCATCCAGTACCTTCTTCAGAGCTGGGCATTTCCCAGGTTACCTCGCCTACACCATTATGAGTCAGTTCGGAGGGTGTGGCGACCCTGAAGATGACTTCCTTCACCCAGAGGTGCTGGTTCTCATGGGTTTCACTCCCAGTGGGTCACTGGGATTTCACCACAACCAGTACTGTCCAGACACTGACCTGACACGTGCAAAGCATTGCTACCTGCGAGATGCTCACATTGAATCCTCATGAGGCTTTCTTGGAGGGTCTTCACCCCATTTGGCATTGTGTCATCCCAAAGCACGGGTTCTTTCTAATACCCCACTGTGTGTGGCAACATGTGCCAAACCAGCCGAACCAGGATCCAGTTGTAATGCATGTTCTCATCAAGGGACACACTCCAGCTGTAGAACACTTTTTCTCAGTGGAAGCTTAGCTATACTCCAGTTGCTTCTTTTCTATATTTGGTCTAAATGTTGAGAGTTAAGAAGATTGGGATGAAGAAATGAGAGTATATGGAGCAATGAAAGTTGAATGGAGCAAGGAAGAGGTATATTCTGTAGAGATCTCACCAAATCCTATTGGAGGGAAATGTACCTGGTAAAAATCAAAAGAGAATTCTAAATACAAATAAAAGAAAAAATAAATTACTCAGAAGTATCAACACAATTTTCAGAGTATTCCTTTCGTGTAGTTTTGACTTTTGGAATCATGCTAAAGTTTTACACATTCACATAATAAAATTAATTAAAGGAACGTGAGTGGGAGGACTAAAATTAAACACAAACAGAAACAAATAAGCCTCTGTTTCAAATGATACTGGCACAGGAAGAAAGGAAAAGAGAACTCAATCACATAGCATCTGAATACACTTCTTTGATTATATATCATCAGTCTAAAAAAAAAAAGAAATGCAAAATATTTTGCTATTCTATAGTGGATTGGGTATAGCAATTCATTTTTCCTGCAGAACTAGGAATTGAAACATGGACTTGTGCTATACCCGAGCCTTTTTTATTTCTTTCTGTTTTGTACTGGGGTTTGCACTCAGGACTTTGGGCTTGCTAGGTAAGCATAGATTCTACTGCTTGAGCTACATCCCCAGCCCAATGGTACAGCAATTCTTAACACTATTTTGTACATATGTTATATTGAGAAAATCATGTCATTTTTTGGAACCCAGGATTCTTACTGTGGGAAAGAGTAAGAATGAGGAGACAAATTCTGGTGTCTGGGATTAGTATTAGAGGTAGCAGAATGATTTCCCAATTTGACACAGAACCAAATGAAATTACTGTTCTTTCCAACTGTATTTACTGAGAAGGCCTAGAAGTAAGGACATTCCAGTACCAATGAGCCCACCCAGTGCTCAGAACTGGTTTCTAACTCCTACATTAAATGCAGCTAAGGCTTCTTAAAGAAATGACTGATTCCAGGGAATTGGAAAGTAAAAGTCAAAAGTGAAGAAGTACTCAAAGAATAAATTCATATAAAAAGAAATCACTTGGGGATCTCTTGCCAAAACTGGGCATGAAAATAAATAATGATAAGTAGTAAATTATAGTCCACCCAACAAAATAGTGATGTGTGATGCTGATACTAACTGGATAAGGATGAAGGAAAACATTTAATTTATTATAAAGTGCCATTATGAAATATAAAAGAAATGATAGATTAGAAAAATCACCATTTTCAGCCTTTACTGTAGTAACTAATTCAGGTGAGACTTGTCATTGTATATAAAAACTACTGCATGAAAACTTGATATAGAATAAGTTATCTATATAGCATCTACATATCTCCTACAGATCACTTCGTAGTTATATAGAAGAAATTATAATTATAAACCAGAGAAACCTGGAAGACACTATCTTAATCGGATGATCAAAATTAACATCAACAATATTAAGACAAATGGTCCCGTGCTTCTGATGTGATGTATTGAGAAGAACTTGGATCACTTCAATGGTATTCTTGGGGAGGTGGTGGGGACATTCTACAAAACAACTAGCTTGTACTCTTCCAAAATATCAACTCATGAGAGACAAACAAGGCTCAGAAACTGATCTAGATTAAAAGAGTCTGAAGAGACTTTTTTTTGACAGTCTGTGAATGTCCAAGGAAGTGCTGTGATTATTGATTTGGGGATTACAAATAAGCTTTCGAGAGTCAGTGAATTCATAAATGCAGAATTTGCAAATGATGAAAATTAAGGTATACAATCACACATGTTCATGCAATGTACATACATATACAAGGATACAGGTGTGTGTGTGTGTGTGTGTGTGTGTGTGTGTGTGTGTGTGTGTGTATGTGTACTATGCTGTGGAAGCACAGAGCAGAGGCAGCTAACCCTCTAGTCCTGCTGGCATTACATTGGAGGCAGGGGTGAGGGGTACCTACTCCAAGATGTAACTGCTGAATTACATCTATTATTGGCAATTACCAGCAGTTTCTGAGGGTACTGTAAAGTGTACATAGAGAAAAGAGAAAAGGGAGAAAAGAGAAAGAACACAGACGGGAACAAGGGGTGGGTTGGCACAAAAGAGGAAGGGTAGAAGACTCCTATCCTGAATCTAGAGGAGCTCTTTCCATTCCCTGCCCTTCTCACTATTACCTAGGAACTTCCAGTTAGTGGAACCTGAACAAACAACAAAATTTTTCTTTTTAATTCACCCTTCTACTCCTCAGTGTTTATGAAATTTGTTTACTATCCTTCACTTTCAAAACACAGTTGAGAAGTCCAGGGGTCTTTGAGTAGTTTCGTTGGCAGATGAGATTGTTAAGTTCTCTGGATCCAAGTTCTCCAAACACACACAGAAAATAGAGGCTGTTAAAGATTCCTGCTCAAAGATA